AGGAAAAATAGATACCATTTATTTATTTAAAAAAAGATTCTCGGTCTTGCCACAAGGTTTTATCAAACTTGTTTAGTCGTTGAGAAAATGGAATTGACTCGAGAAAATTCAAGAGCGATGATTTATTATGACTTTCGAAGTGGTTTAACACAAAAACAGTGTGTTGACCGGATGATTTCTGCATTTGGTGATGAAGCCCCATCCAAAACCACAATTTATCGCTGGTTTGCTGATTTCAACGTGGACGTGTCAAGCTCAGTGATGATCCCCGTCAAGGTCGTCCAAAAACTGCAGTCACCCAAGAAAACGTTGATGCTATGCGTAAGCTCATTGGGGAAGATCGACATGTGACATACCGCGAAATTCAGGCAACTTTAGACATTGGCATGTGGCAAATACAAATAATCTTGCATCAACAATTAGGTGTAAGAAAGTTATTTTCCCGACGGATACCGCATTCGCTCTGTGAAGAGCAAAAAGCGGCTCGCGTTACTTGGTGCGTCAGAACTCTCGAAAGATTCCACGCAGGATCCTCAAATGCTGTATACAACATCGTATCAGGTGACGAATCCTGGATATACGCGTACGAACCCGAAACAAGAAACCAGTTACGAGTTTGGGTGTTCGAAAATGAGTTAAAGCCAACAAAAATTGTTCGTTCATGGAGTGTTGCAAAAAAAATGGTGGCCACGTTTGTCTCCAAAACCGGCAGTGTTACAAAGAACGGTTAATGCAGAATGGTATGCTAGCATTTGTTTGCCACAGGTCGTTTCTGAACTCAGTAAAGAGAACTGCAACCGCCGCATTATCCTCCATCACGACAATGTGAGTTCTCACACCGCACACAGAACAAAAGAATTTTTAGAGCAAGAAAACATAGAATTATTAGACCATCCGCCGTACAGCCCCGACTAAGCCCTAATGATTTCTATACTTTCCCTAAAATAAAGAATAAATTGCGTGGACAGAGATTGTCATCACCTGAAGAAGCTGTGGACGCCTACAAAACGGCCATTTTGGAGGCCCCAACTTCCGAATGGAATGGTTGCTTCAATGATTGGTTCCATCGTATGGAAAAATGTGTCAAATTTCGCGGAGAATACTTCGAAAAGCAATAAATACATTTTTAAATAGTAATGTTGTGTCACTTCCTTGATTCCCGAAATTTTCAGTGCCGCCCTCGTAATTGGGGTGTCTGAGGATGTAAGTTAATTACGTTATATGTTGTATATAAGATGTTAGGTATCTTGTTTTTAGGATTTTCGAAAATAAACTATGTTGTGTTGCTCTGTAAACAAAGTTTTTTTATTTCTCTAATTCTAAATTCCCTCACCAAACTACACTATTACCATAATAACCAAACCTCCTACCTGTAAACAAAGAACCTAAATTTAAAGTTTATTCCTTGATATGTCAATTCCTTTTGTAGCAATTCTATTTTTAATCAACTTACATTATAATTCTCCAGAGGCGGCTTATCATTGCTCAAGAGTCAATATAGTCAAGATGTTCTTTCACAGATTCTATCTACACTCCACAGATACCGATAAAACACACAGATAAAATATTAAAGAAATACATTTTTTTAAGTATATAGTTGGATTTTCAGTCTAGTTGTGTTGTGATTGTCACCATAGTTCTGATATTGCATCTTATTTTTTTTTTATATTATCGTATAAGACATACAATAACATCGTATCAGGTGACGAATCCTGGATATACGCGTACGAACCCGAAACAAGAAACCAGTCACGAGTTTGGGTGTTCGAAAATGAGTTAAAGCCAACAAAAATTGTTCGTTCATGGAGTGTTGCAAAAAAAATGGTGGCCACGTTTGTCTCCAAAACCGGCAGTGTTACAAAGAACGGTTAATGCAGAATGGTATGCTAGCATTTGTTTGCCACAGGTCGTTTCTGAACTCCGTAAAGAGAACTGCAACCGCCGCATCATCCTCCATCACGACAATGCGAGAGAAAACATAGAATTATTAGACCATCCGCCGTACAGCCCCGACCTAAGCCCTAATGATTTCTATACTTTCCCTAAAATAAAGAATAAATTGCGTGGACAGAGATTTTCATCACCTGAAGAAGCTGTGGACGCCTACAAAACGGCCATTTTGGAGACCCCAACTTCCGAATGGAATGGTTGCTTCAATGATTGGTTCCGTCGTATGGAAAAATGTGTCAAATTTCGCGGAGAATACTTCGAAAAGCAATAAATAAATTTTTAAATTGTAATGTTGTGTCACTTCCTTGATTTCCGAAATTTTCATCGCTCACTATACATTTCATATGAAACCGTTTACACTGAGCTATAATATATATTACATCTCAAGCTATAAATATTTTTTCGATTGACCGAGTGATATTTTCATATTATATTTCGCCCCCTGTACCCCGTACCCCGTTCCGCGCCCCCGCAGAATGGTGTACGGGGTAAAGGGAGGTAATCCAATGACCAATGACGAATGCACACTGTTTAAAAGATAAATCTCACAGTGTGAAAGCCAATCGCGGGATATAATAATAATAATAATAATTTATTTGACTCTCAGTTTGACAAATTACACTTATGTATTATGTCTATTTTAAATTACAAAATAACATTTCAAAGAAGTTAGCGTTAACGGCCATACTAGTATAAACTGTGTTACAGCCGTCAGCGTCTTCCACCCTAAGTAGTACAAAAATAATTTCATTTCGCTATACAATACACAGACATGTTAAAATAAATATGGAAAATAAAGAGATTTTTTTTCTAATTACCACAAACCTCTGTGTGTGCGTGTGTGTGTGTGTGTGTGTGTGTGTGTGTGTGTGTGTGTGTGTGTGTGTGTGTGTGTGTGTGTGCGCGCGTGTGCGTGCGTGCGTGCGTTAGTATTTAAAAATTCATTAACCTCTCTGTTTCCATGTAATTAAGATTTAGCAACCAGTATAGAAGAAGGATATATGCAGGAAGTCGATGGATGCAGGTGGCTCAGGACCGTGTTTTGTGGCATTCTTTGGGGGAGGCCTATGTTCAGCAGTGGACTTGTGAAGGGCTGTAATGATGATGATGATGATGATAGAATTTTGTCCTTGCATTTATAAAGGGACATAGGGTAAATATAGCTTATTTTATTTGCTGCATTATATAAATGACTGCTTATGACATAATATTGTCGCCGGGCTAGAGCAGTTTTATGAAAAGTCATTTTACAAATTCTATTTTTGTTACGTTTTAAATTAGGTATAAAATCTGTATTTTTGTGCTTACGTAGTATAACAGACATGACAAATAGTTGTCTTACAGTAAGTACAGAACATTCCTTATAAATAAGTTCAGTGCTATATTTTAATGATTTACCCAGCATAACCTTTAATATTGCTCTCTGTGCACGTTCTAAGGGGAGTAGAGTTGTCTTTCCAATTCCACCCCAGGTTAAAATGCAATATTGTAGTAAACTCTGAGCAAGGGCATAATAAACACATAGCAAGGTTTCAAAATCAGCTGAGTTCCTCAATTTTCTTAAAATTGGTATTAATTTTCTAATACGGCAGGTTAAGTTGCTAATATGCGCTGACCAAGATAGGCAGTAGTCTATGATAAGTCCGAGGTATCTTATATGAGTGGAACGACTTAGTATTGGGCAGTTACATTTGCTTTGTTGTTCACATGTATGTGCTTTGAGATGAAATTCCGCTGATGGTTGGGTACTAACACGGTGAGTGAAGGTAATATATCTCGTTTTTTTTTACATTAAGTGTCAGTAGGTTACTACTAAGCCACCACATGACCTTACCAAGCGCAAACTCTGTATGAAATTGGGCGTCTTTCCAATCTTTACCGTGTACAATTAAAGCTGTATCGTCGGCATACGAAATTATTTTGCAGTTAGGCAGCTTATTTCGGGATATAATATATATAATATCCCATAGTGAAAAGCCAGCCTTAGTGTTAACTATTGCAGAATTTGAACTTGGCTACGCCCGCTGAACAGATAGATATCACTAACGTATGCAACGAGATTTACGCAACTTCAATACAACAAGAGATTGAGCAGAACTAAGGCTTCAAGAGTAATTCTAAATTTTTGCAAGAGATCTGTCAAACTAAAAGAACTAAGTGGACACACAACTAGTTCTTTTCGGTACAGCTGAGCTTCTGAAAGTTTCATCCTTCACGGTAACGCCAACCCGGAGGTGTGGAACAGAATTGCGGTGGTGACAAACGGAGGCTATTGTAAAACTACAGAAACGAAATTAGAATGTTTCTCGAGCACCTTTAAGAGAATTTCAGCGGATGAAAATCCGGTCCTTCATAGTGGCGTTACCTCGGAAGCGTGAAGCAGAATTGCGGTAGTCTACTTGCTGGCAGTTTGGTAACACTACGCTTGAAGTTGTTGACGAGTAAATATGTTTACCCAGAAAAAAAATTGTCCGACTAAGTAAATTTAACTTACACGAAAAGGTTGATTACGACACATCTGTCCACATATTCCACGTAAATTAAAAACGTTGGGTACTCTTTCAACCAGTGATGACACGAACATAAACCTCAAATGTGGTCCTTCACTGCTGGTGTTACGAGGACGTCTTAAATATGATATAAGGATTCGTGATAGAATCCGTAATGATAATGTTTGCAATAGAACTAAAATCAATACAAAGATGTTACTAGGTCGGGTTGTTGAAGGTGTCAACCGAACCTCCACTGGAGATTCTTAGTATCCCCTCAGCCGCCGTTACCATGGTCACTAACAAAGTCAGGAATAACGGGAATGTTTGCCATAGTTACTACGCTTGGCACGGCGATTGGCAACCACAGTTTCTTATAGTTATCAGGAGGATGTTTCTGTCTATCTCTTTCTTTGTTTCCTCTATTGTTTCTTCTATTTTACGGCATAGTATATGGTAGTGTACTTTTACGTCGCTACTACACGGCAATTTTATTTATTATATTTAAAAGAACACTGAAGTTTACTTTTTCAATGAAAAGTAATGTAATTTTAATAATACCTGGGAGCAGATGAAGCCAGGAAGTTGTTGCGGATCACCAATCAGTGTCAGCCGCGTTACATCTAGTGTAAGTGGGATCAAAGTTTCCGGTTCTATCACTTGGCCCGCCTCGTCCACTATGCATAATGCTATTCTCCTTCTTAACCTAAAAAAATATATATTGAAATTACAATAATTCAATTTGTATATATAGTGATCATGGGTCCCGCACAGATATCAGACAAACCATCAGGATTTTAAAATAAGTTAAAATTAAGCGCGACAAAATATCTTATCTAATTTTCGATGTATGCATCGTAAATTGTTATCCTATCTCAAAGCTATACTTGTTTTCAAGCTCATATAAGAATTGTTTATAATGAACACTATTTATATATCAGAGTGATGAAAAACATAGATTCTTTCGAAAGTTTCAACTACGTCCAGTTTCACCTCAGCTAATATGTTTATCATTAAAGCCTCTCCCAGACACAAGCGGCTTGCGGTGGCGGCCAGTTGTATTCGCTTGCAATGTAAGGGAGTCTGCAAACCCGTGCGGCCATGGCGCGGCCTGCCAGTGGCTGGCCGCAACCGCATGCTCCGCCCCTTCCGCCGCGGCGTATGTGCTAAAGCGCCTCCCACACTCAAGCGGCTTGCGGTGGCGACTAAACGCGAGCCGCTGCAATAACACACCCCCGCGGTCGCAGCGGCGACCTGAGGCGCCATTTGCTGTAGTATCTGTGCTACGATTGGACGTCAGTAAACATGGCTAACCGTGACGAAGTCTTATTATATTTTTTTTCTATTTTTTTTTTTCTATTTTTAAAAACGTTACCTCCACACTAGGATTTTCTCCTGTATCGTGGAGGCAGTTTACAAACACAAATTTCACAAGGACAAACATCCAGACCCGGAACAATTATTTGTAGGCCATACAAATACTTGTTCCGTGCGGGATTCGAACCCGCGCCCCCCAGCGCAGCAACTCATTGCTAAGCCACTGCGCCACGGAGCCGTCAACAATATTATCATATATTTTGTTTTTAATCCTAATGTTTTTTTAATCACGATGCAAATTATCATAAAGTACTGGATAATTTTCCAGTTTCTATTAAATCTCTGAATTTAGCACAATTTTTCACGCGGTGCACGCGGCCCGTTGTATAAATTTGCAACTGATCGCACTGCGGCCACCGACTGATCGCGTACTCGCTAACACATGCGTTGGCGGAAGGGGCGGAGCATGCGGCTGCGGCCAGCCGCTCGCAGCCGCGCCATGGCCGCACGGGTCCTCATGACCGATGTCAACATGGCTAATAATGTGAGTTCAGTTATATACTAAGTCCGAAAATTTCATGTCAGAAGTGATCTTGGTTTAATTAAAGTGTGCCAGTCGGACTTTCGCATGAAGGGTTCCATACCATCACACACGTTTCGAGTAGGGGAGCCTCCTTTAATTTTTATTTTTATTATTTGCTGTTATTGCGGCAATTGCGGCACACATTCTGCGAAAATTTCAAATGTCTACCTATTACGGATCATGAGATACAGCCCGATGACAGACAGACGAACGGACGGTCAGCGGAGGCTTAATAATAGGGTAGGTTGGTTACCCTTGGGATACGGAACCCTACTATGATGTACAGCACACTTGTATATGATAAACATATGGACCACACTGTTAACAAAGCATTTAAGGTTTCATTTTAAGAACTTTAGCTTGCTTCTGAAAACTATTAAGATTTTATATTATTCATAGCTGCGTAGCCATTTAGAATCCATAATATAAAGTTTTGTATATCTCGTATCGAAAATATACCGAAAAAAAAAATCAGAATTACCTAAACTTTAGAACACATCAAAAACCAGCTGAAAATAATTTTAAGCATTTTTGTCATTTGAGTATAGAAGTGAAGTTAATTAATATTATAAATGGATCTATTCATTGTCCTGAGCTATTTTATCACATAATGATTAGTTCCAATTTAATGAGCTTTAGGAGTACTTTAAAATTGTATAAGTGTAGTAAGTGGTGTAAAAAGAAATTCTTAATACCAGTTTGTGGAAATATTTGCCTATAAGTCTTCCTAAAATAAATTAATAAATATACGAATAACTGAGACTAAGAAGATGTTAGTACTACAGTAAAATTTACAAATTGGTCGTAATAATGGTTTGGACATATTCCCTGCCTGAAAGAAAAACTAAGTACATAATATGCTCTAAGTTACCAACATTAATTTAATAAGAAGTGGTAAAAGACTCGGCCTGTAGCTAAGTGGCTAACAGTAATTTAACAAAATGCGCATCGATTAATTAATCTATCTGTGTAATTTTTATGTTTAAAATAGTTTTATCCCCGCAAATAGATTGTGATCATCGATCGTTGAGTGCGTGTGTTGTCAGTTTTATTTCAGAAACATCAGGTAAGCAGCAGGCTCGTTTGCCCCATCTCCTATAAAAGAAACGCACATTTCGGGAATCGTAAGGATTGACCAAGTTTAATCCCCACCGGTATTGCTTAAGTGCAAATATATACAACACGTAACATAATTAACGCACATCCTGAAAGTAGTTTGTTCATAATCGTTTACTGAATCGATTTCTATTATTTTTAATATAGGTAATTTTTTATCCCAAAACTAATTAAAACTACGTAAATTATAGTCACACTTAACCTGTACAGTCAAAACAAACTAAAATGGACCATAACTCAAGGCAATAAGACTTTTAAAACTGCAGTTTTATTTGTATTAATACAAATTCTGTCATTCAATACAAAATAAAGAAAAATGAACCTTATTTCAAGAAAGTTAAAGTATTTACAAATACACACAACCTACGACGGCTCCGTGGCGCAGTGGCTTTAGCAATGAGTTGCTGCGCTGGTGGCCGCGGGTCCCGCGCAAGAAGTATTTGTATGGCCTGCAAATAATTGTTCCGGGTCTGGATGTTTGTCCTTGTGCAATTTGTGTTTGTAAACTGCTTCCACGATACAGGAGACAAAAAAAATTTGAGAGTAACGTTTTTTTTAAAAATGTTTATAGGTAGGTATTTCTATAACGTAAACAATCGTGTATTGTCGGCTTTTTTCAGCACTAATATCTACCTACAGTTGTGTCAAGCGGCGGCGGCGCGGCGTTAACTCGTCTCCAACGCGAGCGAATACCTACTAGGCTAGCAAGAACCTCATATGACCTATACCTACGTGTGCAACTTTGTGTGTTCGTGGATTTGTACTGTAACCACAACATTATTCCGGAATTAGTATAACTAATTTAATAAATGATCAATGCATAAACATGTTTAACTAAAAAGTCAGTGTATGATTATAACATAATATACTACGAGGGTTGCACTAAAAGTATCGGGAATGGAATATTTCCACTGTTCCTGTCATATTGAATTTTTTTTAATTGAAAAGTCCTTGGTTTTAAAAATCGAATACCATTTATTTATTTAAAAAAAAGATTCTCGGTCTTGTCACAAGGTTTTGTCAAACTTGTTTAGTCGTTGAGAAAATGGAATTGACTCGAGAAAATTCAAGAGCGATGATTTATTATGACTTTCGAAGTGGTTTAACACAAAAACAGTGTGTTGATCGGATGATTTCTGCATTTGGTGATGAAGCCTCATCCAAAACCACAATTTATCGCTGGTTTGCTGAATTCAACGTGGACGTGTCAAGCTCAGTGATGATCCCCGTCAAGGTCGTCCAAAACTGCAGTCACCCAAGAAAACGTTGATGCTGTGCGTAAGCTGATTGGGGAAGCTCGATATGTGACATACCGCGAAATTCAGGCAACTTTAGACATTGGCATGAGTCAAATACAAATAATCTTGCATGAACAATTAGGTGTAAAAAAGTTGTTTTCCCGATGGATACCGCATTCGCTCTGTGAAGAGCAAAAAGCGGCTCGCGTTACTTGGTGCGTCAGAACTCTCGAAAGATTCCACGCAGGATCCTCAAATGCTGTATACAACATCGTATCAGGTGACGAATCCTGGATATACGCGTACGAACCCGAAACAAGAAACCAGTCACGAGTTTGGGTGTTCGAAAATGAGTTAAAGCCAACAAAAATTGTTCGTTCACGGAGTGTTGCAAAAAAAATGGTGGCCACGTTTGTCTCCAAAACCGGCCATGTTACGACTATTCCTCTTGAGGGACAAAGAACGGTTAATGCAGAATGGTATGCTAGCATTTGTTTGCCACAGGTCGTTTCTGAACTCCGTAAAGAGAACTGCAACCGCCGCATTATCCTCCATCACGACAATGTGAGTTCTCACACCGCACACAGAACAAAATAATTTTTAGAGCAAGAAACATAGAATTATTAGACCATCCGCCGTACAGCCCCGACCTAAGCCCTAATGATTTGTATACTTTCCCTAAAATAAAGAATAAATTGCGTGGACAGAGATTGTCATCACCTGAAGAAGCTGTGGACCCCAACTTCCGAATGGAATGGTTGCTTCAATGATTGGTTCCATCGTATGGAAAAATGTGTCAAATTTCGCGGAGAATACTTCGAAAAGCAATAAATACATTTTTAAATAGTAATGTTGTGTCACTTCCTTGATTCCCGAAATTTTCAGTGCCGCCCTCGTAATTGGGGTGTCTGAGGATGTGCGTTAATTACGTTATATGTTGTATATAAGATGTTAGGTATCTTGTTTTTAGGATTTTCGAAAATAAACTATGTTGTGTTGCTCTGTAAACAAAGTTTTTTATTTCTCTAATTCTAAATTCCCTCACCAAACTACACTATTACCATAATAACCAAACCTCCTACCTGTAAACAAAGAACCTAAATTTAAAGTTTATTCCTTAATATGTCAATTCCTTTTGTAGCAATTCTATTTTTAATCAACTTACATTATAATTCTCCAGAGGCGGCTTATCATTGCTCAAGAGTCAATATAGTCAAGATGTTCTTTCACAGATTCTATCTACACTCCACAGATACCGATAAAACACACAGATAAAATATTAAAGAAATACATTTTTTTAAGTATATAGTTGGATTTTCAGTCTAGTTGTGTTGTGATTGTCACCATAGTTCTGATATTGCATCTTATTTTTTTTTGATATTATCGTATAAGACATACGTTGGGCACAGATAAATCAGGAATTAGAAAAGAATTCCTGGTCGAAATCATAATTTTTTTTATCGAAAGTTGTTTCGTGGTCGGAATTAGTTAGGACATAACCATGATACAATATATTTACCCTTTCATCTTGTGATTGTGTGCACTGGCGAGCGTGGTGACTATAATATCAGCTCCCTCTATAATACGTCGCTCGGCTCGCGCCACTTGCTCGGGCCGTACCTCTTCTCCTCCAGCACTCCCCCCTCCGCCTCCCCGCAACTACCGACCACAAATACTTATTTAAAATTGAGTACGTAAAAAGTGAATATTATATTGTATATTGTTGTGCACAGGAGGAATTTCTATAAGTAATGCACCGAACCCCAGTTAATAGGATTCAAGGACAGTTCAGCTTGACCGTGGAAGGATCACCTTCTCACAATAGTAGAATAATGCTGTTTGACGATGTCAATGAGGGCTAATAACGTTCGCTCACAAGATATTGCTAGTTGACACTAAGGTGAAGTTTTTTCTAACACAATGTCATTTACTTGAGGAGCTAGTTTTAAATACAAGTTTATCAGTTTCTAGAGTATTATATTAATAAAATGAGCCCACTCACCTTGTCTCCTACTTTACGGAATAATGCGTGTAATTCCTGCGCACACTCACCGAAATGCATCCTATAGAATACCGAGAGACTGGCTACTCTGTGCCTGTGCTCGAGGCTCACAAGATTGGTTTCAACCAAATCAATGAGCCTTTTAGCACGTCTCTCCACTGTGTGAGTCCAACGCTGCCAGGTGGCATATTGCAGCATCAGCCCATATGTGACAGCAGTACTTCATGCACGACCGGACTTGCGCTTTATATAAGGTAAGAAGCAGCGCCGGCGTGAAGTACCGCCGCACCCTTGCAAGGACACCTAGTTTCCTTGCGGCTGCTTTGGCCCTGGTCGTAATAAACCGCCCATAGTTGAGGTTCGGAAAAAATTCAACCCCTAACAACTGAAGACGGTCACTGTATTCCAAATATACTTTCCGGAAAGTAGGAGCTAGGGTGAACGAGCTCCTTTTAGCAGTGAAAAAACACGCTTGTGTTTTGGAGGCGTTGAATCTCACAAGATTTTCATCGCCACATTCGAAGACTGTCTGCAGTGAGAGATTCGCACGCTCAACCATAGCTTCTTTTTCGGACGATATTTGATTTCGACTGGCCCAAGCATTCGGCTGGTACCTCTCCAAAACTGTTCTGTCGTTTGCATACCCATAGATACCAGGAATAAGCAGATCATTAATACGCAGCAGGAAGAGAGTTGCGGAGAGAACGGACCCCTGAGGAACTCCATCGATGACGACTCGGAGAGATCGTTCAGTCCGAAAGTCCTTCACCCAGTCAATCAGGCTCTGTTGCCAGATGGTTTGGCAGAGAGCTTTGTGATGCGTTTAATTCGGTCAAATCTGGCTTGCCGTAATGTCTTTTTGCAGGGCCAGACGGCTTGGTTAAAGGCTCTCTTCTTATGGTTAACATCCGGAGCTTTGCGGCCTCGAGCATTAACCCAGGATAAGTGCACCGTATGTTTGTGCTTTTCAGAACGAGCGCACTCGGCATTAAACCATGGGCGAGAATAAAGAAAGATTAACGAATCTCATAAGCGTTAGGCGGTAGCACGAACAAACTTGATAGTACATTTTGGGTGGGCTATTTTTGTTAGAGTCAATTATTGGCCATGCCCACGTGCTGGATGTTGGCTTGGCAAAAAACGTATGTGGCTGTAGTATAAATTCGTGAATTTTTACGTGATTAAGGTTTCTAATAAAAATCTTTCTCTCAGAATGTGTTGCAATCAATGTTTAGTTTTATCAGACTAGGCGAGTAAAAAAAAATACTTTCAGTGTGATTAGGATCCGATATCCGAGTAGGTACCCTACTACCTATTTCTGCTGCCAAATAGCAGTGCTCGCATTTTTTGTTCCAGTCTAGAACCAGTATAATTAAAGGCTATGAGGCGTTCCATCTTAGTCCTCAGAGGTCTTTGTATAAAGTTGTCTGCAGGAGTCCATGGACTGAGTACTTCGGTTATGTCTTAATATATAAAATTCTCGTGTCGCGGTGTTTGTTACCAAACTCTTCCGAAACGGCTGAACCGATTTGTATGAAATTTTGTGTGCATATGGGGTAGGTCTGAGAATCGGCCTACAGCTATTTTTCAAACCCCTTAATGATAAGGGTGACCCACCCCTAAATTTTTTAAATTCTTTTGACAAATTTTTATTTTTATTTTATTATGATTTAGCATTGAAAAATACATAAAACTTCAAATTTTCACTCTTCTACGGTCAACCCCCTGTTTTTTAATCGCGATTTTTAAAACTAAAAAATTTTTCCTACAAATAATGTATATGGGAAAACAACGTTTGCCGGGTCAGCTAGTAGTTATACACAAACAACTAGACATCCGACAAGTGGGAATGATGCATAAAATATGATGGTGATGACGAATGTATGTTACCAGTGATATTCTGTTGACGAGGCTTGTGATCCGGCTCTGACAGTACGCTATGCGCACCGGATCCCGCGCGTCTTGTGCTTGTGTCTTCCACATGTTGATTTTGGCTTCTAAATGTGAAATCTGAAATTCAAAGTCATATGTAAAAGAATATGTCCATCCATCTATTACAGACTTTAAAAGTCCACTGTTGAACATAGGCGTGCCTCATAGGAGGGATGTTGCCATAGTTACCACGTTTGGCCAGCGGGTTGGCAATCGCAGTTGTTTGTTATTTTGGGTTGTTATTGGGAAGATGCTGCTGTTCGTCACATATTTCAGTTCCCCTCTGTCGCCTCTTACGACACTCGCGGTACGATACTAACATACACGGAACAAATGTGCTATTCACTAAGTGGGAGGCAATACTATTTTGCCAAGGAATGTGTGTGGGTACAACTGCAGTTGTAACTGCAACTGTAGCCTTCTTTGTTTAAGTTGGATGCAGTGGCCATATATCACCAGGTGGACTGTAAATTCGTTTTCGATTAATTTCAGTTTTTATGGAATTCTGATGTGTCTTCTTTGTTTAAGTTGGTTGCAGTGGCCATATATCACCAGGTGGACTGTAAATTCGTTTTCGACTAATTTCAGTTTTTATGGAGTTCTGATGTGTCTTCTTGGTTTAAGTTGGTTGCAGTGGCCATATATCACCAGGTGGACTGTAAATTCGTTTACGACTAATTTCAGTTTTTATGGAATTCTGAGGAATCATTAAATGTCATGACCACCACCCCATATTACCCCATGGATATAATAGTAGCTGATTAAGAGCGTAGTCGGTCTGCGCGGGAATTGAGAAATAGGTATTTGATCAAACTATTGCCGTCGCGCTATATATGGTCTAGCTCCCGTAGAGTACGATAGGGATAACTGCAGTTCAGAACGATTTCACCTACAAAAATCATGACCGATGGACGTTTCGTATTCCTCTGTTTTCTCCTCAAAAACTAAGCCGATTAAATTAATTTTTGTATTACAATTTAAAGGAAGAATAGATCTATGCACCTATCACTTGTTTTTATCTTAAAAACTGTTCAAAGAGCAATGGCAGAAAAATAGTTGACAAAAATTATAGCGTCTAGAAATAAGTTATATATAAAATGAGTTTTATTATTTTTCTATGATTTTTCAAATAAAAATGTATTTTAATTAAAGCCACAGAAAAAAACAAACATTTTTGGGAATATCAAATGACTTAAATCATATTACTCTATTCAAATGTTGACATTTAGTATATTTATACTATTTTCGTATACACTTTGTAAGACTACCAACACAACACACAAAATATTTTTTATTAAGTTATTATTAGTAATAACTGTACTATCAGTAATAATAAAAATAAAAGTGATATCGCTGAGAATAAGTCTCTTACAAAGAATTTCCTACAATAATACATTATCTCAATCATAGTACTATGTAACAATTCCATTTAATGTTATGCCAACACTAGCTAATATAAAATGTCACTGTTTTTTTTACTGGCTTTACGGCTCTAGGTTCTAGCCTTTCTGAGAATGTCACTATGATACAAAAGACCTGGAGCCATGCCAGAACTATACATTTATAGTATGCAAATATATAATAGAGATACAATAATCTAAAAACTCTCAATTATGTACTAAGCTAACATCAAACAACCACAGGAAGCATGACTTTTTCCAAGTGACATAGGACATAACCTAAAAAGTTCAAATGTAAATATCTTTTTTTGACGCCTTCTCAGTGCAAAATTATTTGACAGAGTTATTAAGGGACTGAGGCTTAACATTTTAAGATATTTTTGGTATATAGACGCTACCATTTCTTCTCAACTAATTTTATGTATGAAAGTCTGCCATTGTTCTTTCTTTGGCAGTCGTCTGATTACGGAGGTAAAAATGGGCCATTTTTTTTTAGGTTTTTGGAAAGTCATATTTTTTTTGTAATCATTTTTTGGAAAAAAAATAAATGAAAGGGGCATGCCTTCAATAGACCTAGATTTTTATAAATAAAAACGATTACTCTAAGGGCATTATCCAGGAAGAGGATAGGGGAATACATATGTATGGAAAAAATGCAGCCCGTCTACGCTCTTAAGGAAAACATTTGTTTGCATTCATCATCATCATTAAAGCCCTTCACAAGTCTACTGCTGAACATGGATCACCCCAATAGGTTGCCTCATAGGAGAGAAATTCGCCATAGTTGCCAGGTTTGGTAGGCGAATTGCCAACCGCATTTTTTATTTTTAGTTATTATTAGGAAGACGCTGCTGCCCATTTCTTAGTTCGTTTCCCTGTGCCGCTTTTTACGACACATACGGGATGATATCTCGTAGTGGGTGTTCTTACTCAGTCACTAAAAAGTAATTTCAATATTACAGACAGACACATCAATTTTAGTTTGTTGTATATAGAAAAAATTATAACGAAAAAAATTGGTTGCTAAAATGCGTTTGTACTTCTTCAGCGAGGCCGGGATGCGAGGGCTCTGCGAGCGTGCGGGCCGCGTCGCGCTGCGCGAGCTGCTGCGAGCTGACGTCGCGCGCGCGCGGGTGCATCGCCTCCGCCCGCCCCACGCGCACCATTCGGAAACGTTCCCCTGCAATCACATACAACGAAATCTCTTTATTCATATTAAAATCTCTTACTCTTTAGTCTAAGATTTTTATTATTACTGTATGCTTCATTTTATTTCTACTCGACCCATGCGCACTATGCAAATACGTTCCCCTGCCACCAAATACAATGAAATCTCTTTATTCATATTAAAATCTCTTACTCTTTAGTTTTTGATTTTTATTATTGCTGTATGCTTCATTTTATTTCTACTCGACCGACGCGCACTTGCAAATACGTTCCCCTGGCACCAAATACAATAAAATCTCTTTATTCATATTAAAATCTCTTACTTTTTAGTCTGTGATTATTATTATTGCTGTATTCTTAATTTTTATGCTAATGTTTTTTTTTTGTCTTTTTATGCCTACCAATTTATTTAACTATGCTTAGGGTTGACACAGAGAATCAGAAACAAAATATTTTTATTGAATTTAGATTATAAATAATAGTTATTGAAAATCACTCTTTTAATTAATTTTCAACTGGTTCGAAAATGTCCTGGGAACCAGCCAGAATCCCAGCGGGACATAAAAAAAAAACCAGCTTACAATTAATAATACAACACAAATTAGAAACAGCTTAGTAGCGATCACCTCATTCCCAGGGGTTATTATTATTCATAAATTCCTTAATATTATAATAACTCTTTTAAGACAAACTTTGTTTAGTAAACTTTTTGAACTTTGATGAGGTCGGGTTTTTTTCTGGGATTTTATTGTAAAAGCGTACACATCGCCCCAAGAATGGATTATTAATGGTACTAGCTTGTGTATACAGTTGTGCCTAGTATTTACAGAATATCACTTATTTTTAACTACTTTTGTTTTTTGCGTGCATACATTACATTTTCATAGATGTATTGAGAGGCCAAAGTTAACACATATATCAATTTCCTTAATTTTTTGTCTGAGAGATTCTTTAGGTTTTAAATCATAGATTGCTGTTATGGCCCTCTTCTGTAAAACAAACACTGAAATTATATTTTCAGTGTCAGTCACCTGTCACCATAGCAAAATACCTTCTGTTTCAACACTGGTAAAATTTGTAATCTTTTTTACAGCATATGCTGCAGAACTAAGTCTGTTTGCTAGTTTTGATATATGAGGTTCCCACTGAATCCTCATTTCATCGTGACTAGTGTGATTCCAAGAAAAATTATGGCATCGACAAGACTCAGGTCCTTCCCCTTTAAAATTACATTAGTATTTAGATGTAGTGTAGTGCAATTTAAATGCAAATTATTAACATTAAACCAATTTACTAATTTAGATCTAGCATTATTTACTTGTTATATTTTAGTAATAATAATTGTCGTTTTAATTTAAAAATTAATGAAGTATTATCAGCAGATAATACTATATCACAGTTATCCCCTACTATGTAAGGTATTAGTATATACCAAAAACAAAGGGGCCGAGAATTGAGCCCTGAGGAACGCCCATTTGTGCTATCGACCCGGAATAACTCCTACAATTAATGACAAATTTTTGCATTCTGTTACTTAAATGTAAAATAATACATTTAAGAGCATCACTTCTCACACCGTAGTGTTCAAGTTTCTGATTAATGTTTCATTGTGAACACAATCGAAGGCTTTGTATAGGTCACAGAATATACCCAAAGCATCATGTGAATTCTCAGATGCACTGAAGATATATTTAATCAGCTCAACACCAGCATCACTTACTAACTCTCTTCAAACTGTGTCCAATAAATATAAATCAGCCCAAAATGAAATAAAAGAACACATATTGGCTATGGATAATCTGGTAAAGACTTGTAAATATAATGAGGAGCGGTTTGACTCCTTAGTTAAATATCAATGTGAGTGTCAGCGTTCAATACCAGCTTTTTCAGAGTCAGTGTGTGCTGATAATATTATAACACCACTAAAACTCTATGACAGTGCCATAGCAGAGGATATTAGAATAATAAATAACTCAAATATTAACAAAAATAATATAATTATGTATAGCGATGACATGGGAAAAAATATAGGCATAACTTTAAATAACTCTTTAAAGGGACAAAAAGTTACAAATTGTTGCATGCCTGGAGCATCTTTTAGTGACATCCTAAATAAAATTATTGTTACTAAATTTTGCACAAATAGTACAATAATAATTTTTGTTGGTAGAAGAGGCAGTGTAAACAACAAACAGTTATTAAGATATATTGAACAACTTTATAACTTACATGTACACAAAATAGTCTTGTTCACACTGCCTTATATACAGGGATTGCCACAGGAAAATAATTTAAGACATAATTTAAATATATACGCCCATTATACGTATTACGCCCATTTTCAAAGTGTTTTAAATGAATCCTAGAGTGATAATGAACCACTATAATTTTTATATAAAAATTTTAAAACTGAATAGTGACATAAAAATTACTTTTAATCTATCGTTTTAAATTTTCGCGTGAAAACGTTAACCGCCATACTGTTCAACTCGTGACGTCACTGTCGTAGAATTTTGACAATTTTGCAAAGGAATAATATACTTTTGAATGTTTAATAATGAGTTATCATTTATATCATTGTTGTGTTGCGCCTGATTGCAATAAATACGAGCATAAGAACGCCGGGGAAGTTATGGATATGAGAAATACTTGGTTAAAACTGGCAAGAAGAGACCCGAAGGCATTGTCTACAAAATCTAAACTATACTTCTGTGAAGATCACTTTGATGTAAGTATGACTTATATTTAACTATCGATTAAATAAAACAAAACATCATGACATGACCTACCTATTGCACGTCAAATTTTGTAATAGATTAGGTTAATCGCTCGTCTGTCCCGCCCTTTGTGGGCCATTTTGATAGCCGTTTCAAGTGCAGTGCAGTGTTTTACTTAATTCCTGTTTTCTTCTATTATATGGGAATAAAGATATGGTTTGTACTCAGACCAAATAAATGTGACTTTTTATTTCGTCTGAGGGTTTGTACAAAAAAATATAACAAAAAGTTTTTCTCACCTAAGCTTATATTATAATATCTATAACATTAGTGCTAAAAGCGAAGTAATAAACTCGCTTTTACGAATCCGTCTAAAATGATGCCTTTTCAATAAAAATCGAAATAAGAGTCAACAATTAATTTGACATTTAATTTGGAATCAGTTCCAACTAATTTAAATTAGTGAATGTGACAATAGAGGCAATCTCTAGCAATAATAAGAGTTTAATTAATTTTGAATACAGCCCACAAATAAGTAATAAAAATTGTTTACATCTGGTGCATCAAAATATACAAGGCATGATGGGCAAAGAATTGGAAGTTTAATTGTTTTTAAATAGTAACAATATACACATCCATTGTATTACTGAACATTGGCTAAAAGATTATAATTTCACGTTTAATTTCAGAAATCACCAGGTGGTCAGTTCCTTCAATAGAGAAAAAAGTTTACGTGGAGGCTCCTTAATATTAGCAGATAAATCATTATTATATAAAGAACGTAAGGATATTGTGAGCCTCTGTGTTGAGCGAACTGTAGAAATGGCTTGTGTCGAGCTCGAGCACCTCATTGTTGTAAGTGTTTACAGACCCCCATGTGCTACTTATGACTATTTTGAAAGGATTGTGGAAGAAGTTTTGCTCAAACTTAGTAAACAGGACAAAACTGTTGTAATATGTGGAGACTTTAACATCAATCTCCTTGAAACTTTTTCCATTAGTATTAAGTTTAGCTCATTGTTTAAATCGTATAATCTTGTTAATTTATTCTTAGAACCAACACGTAGTGCTGGGCCTAGTGCGACCTGTATAGATAACATTTTTACAGATGTTAAGCCCTTGCATAAATCAATTATTCGAAATTTAAGTTCAGATCACTGTGGACAGTTGGTATCACTACCTTACATACACAAAAAACAGAAAAATAAGAAAGTTGTGTTTGTTCCAATAAATGAACATCGCTTGGAGAGTTTTATAAGTAATATAATAAAAATACTTCCATCACTTTCATCTAAAAATAGTGCTAATTATTTGTATGGTACGTTATTTAAAATTATAAGTTGTGAATTTGGTAGAATATTTACTTCTAAAACTTTCTCTTTTAACAGTCGCAAATCATTTAATGAATGGGCGACAGTAGGAATTTATAAAAGTAGGCGAAGGTTATACGATATATATAAAGATCATATAATAGTAGTGTTATATTTAGAGATTATGTAAAAACATATTCTAAAATATTAAAAAAAGTGTGCTCCACTGCTAAGGCTTTACATTTAAGCAACAAAATTAAAATGACCTGGAGAATAATAAACAGTGAAACGGGCAAGTTCAAAACGCGCAACTCGGATTTTCAATTGAATATTAACAATAATTTAACGCGATCTGATCAAGAACTTGCTATGGCTTTTGAGAAACATTTTACTGGTGTTCCTTTTATGACAACAAAATCATTAAATTCTTCTCCTACTGTCGCCGAATCATTGCTTAAACAAAATGTAAAGGCTTGTTCAAATACTTTTAAATTCCATAGAGTATTGCCAAAAGATATCGTTAAATATTTTAAAACTATTGATGTTTATGATTTCCGTTAAATTTATTTTATCTATAATAGATATAATAGCACCTTATCTAGCCACTATATTTAATACAAGCGTCGAATCTGGTGACTTTTCTGATTTAATGAAACATAGTAAAATTATACCTTTATTTAAATCTGGTAGTACATTAGACCCCGCTAATTTTATACCAATTTCTGTACAACCAACATTTAGTAAAATTTTTGAAAAAATTATTTTAGCTCAGATGTTAAGTTTCTTTAATATTAATAAATTGCTACATAAAAATCAATTCGGTTTTACAAGGGGTCGCTCGACAAATGACGCTGGAGTTGAGCTTATTAAACTTATTTTTTGTGCATGGGAGAATTCAGAGGATGCTTTGGGTATATTTTGTGATCTTTCCAAGGCCTTCGACTGTGTTCACCATGAGATATTAATCAGGAAGCTACAGTACTATGGTGTCAAGAACACAGCGCTTAAATTTATTATTTCATATTTAAGTAATACAATGCAGAAGGTTATTATCAATGGTAAAAGTTCTTCCGGGTCACCTGTACATGGGTGTCCCTCAGGGCTTGATTCTCGGCCCATTCCTGTTTCTAGTGTATATGAATGACTTACCTTCCTTTGTTGGGGCTAATCATGATATAATATTATTTGCTGATGATACTTCCTTGATTTTTAAACTTAAACGTCAATCATTTAAATGTGACGAAGTGAATAATGCTATATCAAAATTAGTGCATTGGTTTAACGTTAATAATCTACATTTAAACGGAGATAAAAGTAATTGTGTTAAATTTACAACTACGAATGTTAAAAATCTGAATACCAATGTGTTTTTAAATGGGGAGGAACTGAGCCCTGTTGTATCCACTGTTTTTCTTGGCATTACTTTCGACGCAAAGCTTCAGTGGGGCCCCCATATATCCAAATTAGCAAGCAGACTAAGTTCTGCAGCCTATGCTGTAAAAAAGATTAGAGGTCTCACTAGTGTCGAGACAGCTAGATTAGTTTATTTCAGTTATTTCCATAGCATAATGTCTTATGGGATTTTGCTATCGGGAAATGCGGCTGATTCAGAAACTATTTTGTTTTACAGAATAGGGCCATTAGAGCTATTTACAATGTAAAACCGAGAGAGTCTCTTAGAGATAAATTTAAAGAAATAAATATATTAACTTTGGCCTCTCAATATATTTACGAAAATTTAATGTATGTTCACAATAAATAATTGGACGTAGTTGTGCAAAAAGGATCCAATCCGCGATAAGTTAATCTGAGTTTATGATATTTGAAGTATCCATACTTCAAATATCATAAACTCAATTTATCGGTATGGTTTCCCTCTGTTTGTAATTTTTCTTATTATTTGTGTTATGTTTGCTAAAATTGTTACATCACATAATAGTATAGACCACAAACATTATTCTTCAAGTTAACATTTTGGACACAAACTCGGGTTGGATCCTTTTTGCATAACCACGTCCAATTAAAAATTTTGTATTGCCGACTTCAATATAAGTTATTGAGAATAACTCAAAAACTATTGGTCGGACCTTGATCAAATTCATATGGGACCACACGAGAAGTACCAGCTTTTAAATAAAAAAGAATCATCGAAATCGGTTCACCCAGTTAAGAGTTATATACACATAAAAAAAACATACAGTCGAATTGAGTACCGTCTCCTTTTTGGAAGTCGGCAGAAAACAAAGGTAGTTTTAGTAAAAAAAAGTGATATACATTCTGTAAACACTAGGAACAAACACAAGCTAGTGATACCAGTTTCTCGACTCCACAGAGTCGGTAATTCATTCTTGGGGAAATATATACGCTATTACAACAAGGTCCCGGAAAGTGTACAGGCTCTCTCTATTACCAAGTTTAAATGTTTTGTTAAGCTGAAACTGTATAAAAAGGGTTATTATAGTATAAATGAATACATGGTTGATAATAACCCCTGGGAATGAGGTGGTCGCTTCCAAGCAGTTTTAAAAATAAATTTTGTAAATAGTTTGTAATCATTTATATTGTAAAATTTATTTAAAAAAAAAGTGCCGCTGGGTTTCTTGCTGGTTCTTCCCAGGACAGAGGGATTTTTTCGAACCAGTGGTAAAGTAAAAAATTGACTTTCAATAAGAATTACACATGTAATGTATATTGAATAAAAATTATTCTATTCTATTCATCAGTTGTCGAGCGACCCCTTGTGAAACCGAATTGATTTTTATGAAGTAAATTATATACATTAAAAAAATTACATTTGATTAAGAATAATTTTTAATAATTTAGAACACCAAAGGGTGTGCCAGAAAGACCTCACAACTTCCAATAGATGGCGTTATAACCATCTTGTATATGTCAGATGTAAACTAGCCAAACCAGAGACGGGAAGGAGTGCCAAAGTTGCGAGGCATCTGGATACTTAGTTATGTATGGAACTTATAAAAAGTTAGTAGAAGTAATGATTGGTAAATATTGGCGCGATAGATTCCTTAATATGCTATCGAATTTATTTATTATATAGAAAAAGTTTTTTTTTTTTACTGTGGTGGTTTGCTTTATCATCAAATACACTGAATAACAGCATTTAAAATTGCTAAAAATAAGATCAATGACGCTGATGGCCTTCAAAGATGTGTTCAATCAATGGTAAAAAGAGAAACTATTATTATAAAAAACAAAAAAGCCAACAATAACATATGAAATATAATACATTAGAAACAAGAAAAAATATTTTAAAAGCTACCTTTAGGCAAACTCTGTCTTATATTTAGCAATCTGATCACAAGTTCGTCAACAGCGGCATTACTTGTAGCACAAATTAAAATCTTTCCTCTATTTTGATGTTTCTTTCCAGCGGAATTATAGAAGTATGTCATGACTATGGCACAGATTACACTTGACTTTCCTGCAAGCATACATAATTAATTAGTTACAATTCATACGACAACTTTTATAAAAATTTGTGTAACAAATAATTCGAAAGTAAGTTCGCTAACAGGCATTGGATAATTCTTTGACTTCTACGAGAGAGAGAGTTCTACTCTCTCAGAAATGGGAGGAGGCTTGTGCTTACGTAAAGTCTGACAACGCGACAGACTTGTGATTGCCTTCCGAGAGCGAACTTGACTTTTAGAAGAGGTCTGTGTCTAGCAGTGGGACGTTCATAGGCTCTAACTTAAATTTAGATAGGTTTTAGTATTTTTATTACTTTACTATACTGCCATTAGGAAGCAGTGCACACAATGCTGTGTTTCGGTGTGTGGAGTAAGAGATCTAATATAAAGGTTGTAAGCATTCAATCTTAATACTCAGGAGTGACAATGCTTCTGTGGTTTTCTTTGTTTAAAGTTGGTGGTAGCTGCAATAGCCACTTACCATCACTAACATATAAAATGTTAGCTTGTCACTCTTATATTCAAATAAATACAATCTTTAATATTATGAATGCCATATTCTTGAAAATGCCTATATCCAACAGTTAATTAAAAAGTTTTTAATGAAGAAATAGAAAACTAATAAGAGCTAAATGAACTGCACCTGTGCCAGGTGGCCCTTGGACCATTTGTATACAAGGTTTATCTCCGAGTGCAGCAGATACTGATGAGCACACTGCTAATTTTTGACTGGCATTAAGGGTTACTGTCCACTGGAAAGAAAAGAAAAAAAATTGATTATTATATGCTATACTAGCTGTGCCCGCGGCGTAGCTCGCGAATATAGGTTTTACTTAAAGAATTTGACGTTTAGGGTAAGAGAATATTAAACGATTTATATCATTACTGTATGAATAAGTGGTAACAAAATAAATCGATACGCTCAAAGTTCTAAGTCGTTTATGATAGAGCTTCCGTGTAAACGACGATAGAAGTAGACTTAGCCGGGGCGTACAGAAAAAGGTTGGCATAGAGTTGGCCATGTGCAAAACAATCAGTACTGGGGTCCACTCCTACAACGCGTAAAGTTTGACCTTGCGCTTTATTTACGATCGTCGCATAACACACGCTGAGTGGGAAACACACTTAAAATAGGGATGTTAGATGATCATCGATTTTAAAAATTAAAACTTCGATGTTTTAACATCGATGTTGACACATGTCAAACATCGAAACATCGACGTCAATGAACCCATAATCGATAATTGGGAACTTGCAAACAATGCGAACTCGCGAAATCAATATCAACTAAATCTTGCATCTGCTCTGAAGATTAAAAATTTTGAATAATTCAGAATTCCTGAACGCATCGTTAACCTAAAAAAATGTCAGTATGGTGAGTCAAACTTAATTGTCAAGTGTCACCTGTGATGTCACAATGGTCACTGCTTTCGCTTTATTTTGTAGTGTCGTTGTCGGTTGTCGCATAATAACTATTCTACGTAAATTGATATTCGAGTTAATAGTTACTTTTCCCTTGATGTGTATACCCACATAATTTTGAAACAATGTGTAAGTATCTACACATATACAAAAACCATCGATAATGGTCATCATCGATGTTTTGAGTAGCCTAAACATCGAACATCGATGTTGAGCTATCGATGTCATCATCGATGTTATTATCCCTATCTTAAAACTGTAAGGAAAGTTATTTGGTATTAGAGGTTTAGAGGGATTCTGGGTATAAAACAATATCACGACATTTATTGCAAATTTACTGGGAGTGGGCGATACAAATCGTATATAGATACAATATCTATATATCAGTACAATATCCAACATCTATATATCCGACGACAAACTAACTATGTATTAGATATTACGATTTTACGATACGGTGTTGATATGAGTCATCGCAGAATATCTAATATCTACTCAAAACCGAAACGTAAAATATCTAAATATATACATTGATTCGGATACCGAACAAACCTTGAGCGCGATAAAATATATAGCTAAAACAGATATTACGACTACTTTACAACGAAAAGGTGATATGCTTACGCTTAATATTTTTAATATTAATCTTTATTAGTAGTAACATACGATTTATTACAGAAAATATCCAGTCTAAGTAGTATAATTTTATTATTACTTTGTTGTGTTGCACTGTTTTCAAAATAAACTATTTTAGATCTTATTGTGTATTTAATATATTGATATTTTTGGTATATAAATTAAAACTGAGAAAATTATGAAGGAAAGTTTATTTCACCGATTCTTAAAAACTATAAGTACCCGCTTTCTAGATATGGGATAATTTCCTTTGGCGTAGGGGTATAATATAACCACTAAACATAACCACAAGTGTGGCATAAAATATAAAGGTTTAATTTTATATCAAATAAATGTTGCAATCCTTATTTTTAAACATGGAGAGCCTAAAGTTAAGTGTATTAAATTAAAATAATATTAAATATTTTTAAAATATTATTCTTTAGAGGAAAGGTGTAAAAAATACTTTGCAAAAGCGCCCCCTTCTAGACTCTATACGTAAAGTGATTTTATGGAACAAAAATTGATTAACGCTCAAGGCGGTACGTACATTATACGCTAGATGGCATAAACACGACACGATTAAATTTAATATTCTATTTCATTATCTCGCAGGATAAATCCTACTTTTTATATTATGAGATACATTAAGAATACTTATATTACATAAATAATACAATATATCTATAAATCAATATATGGAAATTTGTTCATAAATCGCGTATCACAAATGTGATTTTGAGTACTGACTTCTTTTCAGAACGAAGATATTAACAAATATATAGATACAAAATCGGATTTTCATATCCAATACATAGGTACGATTTGATATAGGGTAAATGTGATATTACCCATGCCTAAAATTTACTACTTTTAGTCGAGTTTTCGAGTTTTGTTGAATAATTTCGACGTACGCGGTACGTCTCTTTTTTCTGTTTCTGTCGGTGTTTGTGCTTTGTGTTGTTAGCCTACACGGCTCTAACAGTCTTGCAGCTTCGTCGGACTCATGAACATAAATTTTTTCAGTGAGTGTCAATACGATTCACCTGCGAAAAATCTTAACACCGCAATTCAGAAAAGGTTGTAATTTGTACAACGCCATCTATTACGTTCTTTGTGAGAAAACATCCTTTTTTAATTTAAGGAAAACATATTTTTTTTTACTGTGTTTTAAGTATAAATGTATTATAATAGAACGTTTTTTTTTACACACGTATCTTTTTATTACTATTTCTGAGATTTTGTGGCGCCATTAAACAAATTCGAACCTACATTTCAAAATAATAATCATAACTTTCGATAGAATTAACCAATTTTAATAAAACAAAGATTAAATGTAACTCGAAGATACGCTTTATGATTTTCTTAACGATTTCTTTGAAAAAAAAAAGATGTTTACTTTAGACGTGATGCTTTCATATAAAAACAGACAAACAGACAGAAAGACAATTCTAAAAATTATAAAAATGTACTTATTTAATTATTTTTAGTTCCCCATAATGATTTTAGTCACCATAATATATATATACAATGTACAGAAAGAGACACATGTTATCATCATTTTTATTATATGTATATATTTAAAGAGAGATGGCGCTGCTAACATCAACTTGATTACTCAAACAAAGCCACCGTTGAGCAAATTCCCTACCCATACTTCAGAATATTTATCATAACTTTTGATGGAATGAACCGATTTTAATGAAATAAAGACTAAATGTAACCCGAAGGTTTACTTTATAATTTCCTTAACAATTCTTATGATATAAATTAGTACTTTAAACGTGATACGTTAACAAACAAACAGACAGACAGACAGACAGACAGAAAATTCTAAAAATGGTAGAAATGTATTTAATTACTTATTTTTAGTACCCCTCAATCACTTTTATTACAAAAATATAAAATGTACAGACATCTGCTATTTACAATTTTATTATATGTATAGATATAGGCACATTTTTGACCTCGGCAACAACTGTGGAATAGTTAGAATAGCTATCAATTAAGTGCTGTATAAGTCTTTCTATACATGTAGATCTGGCACGCGGTTATCCACTGTGTAAATACAATTACTAGCGTCTATTAAAATGAAGCGTCATTTAAAATAATATTTCTTTCTTGGCAATATAAGAAAAAGTGCAAGGGAGATGAATATTATTCCATCTCTCTCGCACTATAGAAAGGGGTCGTGACGGAAACATTTTATACTTTTTCTCGCCTAGCCCTCATCCGCCAAATTCGTACCGTGCGATAAGGAACTTTGTTATAATAATTAACCAATAAGAAATCGGCTGAAATGGCAATCAGTTGGACATACGAGTATAGCTCGAAGAACCGACAAGCGATAGGGAAGAAAAGTTCTCGAGTATCAGACTGGTACCGGTAAACAAGTGTAGGGAGGCCCCTACTAGCAAGCATCTAGTGATGGAGCGACGACTTGGTAAGAAATGCAGGAAATCGATGGAAACATGTGGCTCTATCTACATACACAAAAATATACATTTTGATTATACTTAATTGATCTATGGGCGACAACATCTACTTCTTGCCAAGTCAGTGGACTATATGCTGCTTTATAATTAATAGAATCAGGCGTTAATTTGCGGAAATCCATTATATAAAAGCTTTTTAAAAAAAAATACTTATGAGGGCGAGAGGTGCTCTTCATACTAGGTAAGACACATCATTTTATTTTAAAGCGCGGATGTTTGCAAAGTAAATTTTTTTAAAAGCTTTTATATATGCTGCTTTGTTACTTATTCTGTATAAAGAAAAAAAATCTTGAACGAGAGGCTTAGCTCCCAACTAGACGGGAGGGACATGTAGGAAATTAATGGATGCAGGTGGTTCACGACCGTGTTTTGTGACAACAACGCCGCCACATCATTCCCCTGCACATACCGGAGGTCAATAGTGCAGTCCGGTTTGTACGTCCTTGATGCCGGTGGGGAATGCATGCTGTGTGCGTAAGGGTGAGTGACACCGGTGCGAACGATATGCCGGTATGTAATGCATGCCGTATTACGCACTTGCAAGTGATGCCGGTGAGAACGATGGACCGGAACAAGTGCGAGAAGTCTGTCTTATAAATCCGCGGTGAGTCAAGATAAAGACAGGTTGAACTTGCTTGCAGGAACTGAAGACTGCAGAAAACGATTCTCGGGAGTGAATGGTAAAGGTTCTTGAAGATAATGACGAGGGCTTGAAGTTGTAGTAGTTTCCGATGGTTGTTGGTTGCGTGTTCACATTACGTCGGGGTCGCCAGTTTGGCCGTGGAAAATGGGGAGATCTCCCGACAGGCAAGGTGATCGGCCCGGGGAGAGGCCAACGCCCCGTGGGTTAGTTCGGAGTTATTCTATATACACCTCAGTATTTCAAAACGGATTTAGGCTTTGGTTTGTTAGGCTTGCGTCGCGACAACAGTGCGGCCAAAAGAAAATTATACTACCTACTTTGTGGTAGAGGTAATGTAGAGTGCAGTGGAGTTTTTATAGGCTGAAAACAATGCCTTAGTATGCACGATCATCTTATCAAAATCCAAGGCCTCCCATAGATTGTATTTTTGCCAAAATTGCCACGTGCAGGTTGGCAATTGCAGTTTCTTATTATTTTGAGTTGTTATCAGGAAGATGCTGCTGTCCACTGCAGCCTCTTATGATACTCACAGATGATTATGAGTCACCACATGTTTTTTGAATAGTTAATATAGTTATTTTATGAAAAACTTATAAATACATACTTGTGATTTTAAATCATGGTCTACATTTGGTTCTCTTGACTTTACAAAATGATGTGGCTCAGGTTTTAAAATTGCTTCGCTGAGTGGAGAGCCTACCAGATGCTCCATTGCTTCAAACAGCATTAATTCCTTATTAATATAAGCCAGATTTCTACCAAACATTATTTCACCAGGTCGCAATAATCCCATTTTTTCCGTGAATGTTGCATATAGGGAAATAGTAAAAAAAGAGTGAATATTGTCTAGAAAAAATAGAAAAGAAAAAAATATTTAAATTATGGACAATAACTGTTGAGGGGCAATAGTTTAAGGATGAAATTTAAACTTACTTTGTGGTGATGGAAGACATCTAACATTATGAACAAAAAAAAATCTTTTATTCTTTGCATTTTCTGGTCCAAATGTTACCAACAATACTTCTCCCACTCTTGGAACACTTTTTATTTCAGACGTAGGTAACGAAACTAAAATGAAGAACAAGTTTTTATTAAGATTTACGAACACTCATTATACACATCAAAAATACATTTAAATTACTTACTATTAACACTAAGACTGAATAAGTCAAAACATCGCTCTTGTGGTGGTACAGGTGGTAATGAATCGATTCTCATTTGGAAACCTTGACTGGATAATCTCATATAGCCTTGAGTTAAACATTCCCAAATTTCCATTAGTAGTAGATCACCTACCAATCTAAAAGATATTTATAAATTTTAAATGCATGGCTTTATGGAAGGACTTATGTCATGGTAAAATTTATTACTTACTGTATGTATTGCTTATGATTACTAAAGGAATGGAAAATCGTCATTGGTGGATTATTGTGTCCTAAGATAGGTGGAGGGTCATTATTGTGCATTTGTTCATCCAACCAGTGAGGATTCCAACGAAGAATCTTCATTAGTGTAATTTTCTCTAATGAAAAAACAGGCATATGCCTTACATCCAGAAGTGAAGTTTTTATTGAACTTGTCTTTTTCATTTTATTACCAGGTTCAATCTCAAATAAGTGTACTCTTGGTTCTTCATCAGTGAAACGCACCTTTTTTGTTGTTCTTTTACAAGGTGAGGGCGACTTTGTGGGTAAAGGTTCAACTTTTGAAAATGGTTTTCCTGATATGGATTTATCACTCTCTTTTAAAGGTTTAACAGATTTAAGAGGTATTCGTGAATCAGATTCAAAAGTTTTAAAAGATTTTGAAGATTTAGAGGTCTCCTCATTTTTACTTTTTGTTTTAGATGTTTCATGTTTTTTAGAAGCACGTTTTGTAGACTCTTTCCTTTTACTTTTGTCATTGTCTTTACCTAGTTCAGAAATATTTTCATGTGTTTGTGATGTGTCTGCATCTTTGGTTTTGTTTATACTTCCTTTTCTTTTTGTAGGTTTGACAGTAGCTTGTACAGGATCTATTAAAAATGCGCCTCTGTTTAATGTTGTTACTTTCGCATTAACAACTGGCTTAGTGGAGTTATTAACGGATAAAGTACTCCCTCCTTCTGGTTCAATGTCCTCTTTATCTTTTGTAGCAATTTCTTTGAGCTTTTTCTTCCGTTCTTCTTTTTGAGAATTAGTTATTTGTTTCTTTGGTTTTGATTTTTTCTTTGAATGTTTATTACTTTTTGTTTTACCTGTAACAAAAGATTGATTAGTATTGGTCTCATAGTTCTAATAAATTAAAAGACTAATACTTACTTTCTTGCAATAAAGGTGTTTGTTTCTTTTTGGAAGGTTGTACTAAAGGCTCAATTACTTGAATTTTTTTTTCTGATTCTTTATTAGTTGCAAGTGTTATCTGTGCCTTTGGTTCATGCACATCTTTTGTTAAAATTGTTTTAAAATTTTCTCCATCAACTTGATCATGATTTACATCACTACATTCTAATTGGATTTCTTTTGAATCATCATCAGTTATAATATTTGACTCAGTAGGTTTTTCAAATGTACTACATTTTTCTGTATTGTTATCATCAGATAACTTCTTTACATTTTCATTTGGTGTAGGAGGAAAAGGTGGTATTGTAATTAAATCATCAGTAAATTCTTCATCAGTTTCATCATTTTCCTTTGTCAAATCTAATACCATAAAATCTTCTGTTTGGCTGTATGAGTTGTCATCTTGTTTTACATCACTGGGTTTGGGTTGAACAATTTTGGTAAAAGGCTTACCAGGGGAGCTTTGCGACAAACGTAAAAACCAATGTTCTGATTCACTATCACTATCACTGTCAATTTGTATAGCTTCATCATCATATCCCAGATATTCTTGTTTAATGCTAAAAGCTTCATATTGCAAATCATCATTTTCGGATTTTATAGGTTCTTCCTTCACTTGCTGATCTTCAAGTTTAATTTTTTTTGAAATAGTTTCTTTGTTTGTGCATCTTTCGATATCACTATCTGACAAAATACTTATAACTTCATCATCAACCTTTAATTTGCTCACATTATCATTAAACTTTCTTTTTAAATTTAATTTTGTAACAGATATAGAAGATGGATCCCTTTTTATTTCTGTATTTGTGTCAATATCTTCAAGGTCATTTTGAAATAATAATCGTTTTGATATAGGTGGCAAACAATTTTCTTTAGTGAGTTTAAATATATATTTTTCACTATCAGTAATATTTACAAGAGGAGCACCAATAGTCCACCCAAATCCAATAATATCAGAATCTTGTAAAGTATATGGAATGTTTGGTGGTATTCTTTTTAAGCCAACATATATTCCATTAGAACTCTAAAAAAAAAACGCTAAATAAAATATTTTACATTGGTTCTAAAAAGCTGCCAAAGGAGAATAGTTGGCATAAAACATACAACAAGGGCTTTATATTAATTATCCCTTATTATTGAAATGGCTCTCCCATTTCAGTATTAGTGGTTGGGGGGTGAGAGAAGGGATAGGTGAGGAACCCCCTGCCACACTCCACACCTTTGGAAATGCATAGATTTTGTTTTGAAATTTTTTGTTACTGACCAAATCTAATTTTAGAACAAATTATTTTATACTAGGCTGAACTAGTTTTTCAGCCAAATGTTAGTAGCTTACTGTCGCTAATATTACTTTTCTCAACAAGCTCAATTAGGAAACACTAGATTAACCAAGAAAAATCTAGTTTGTCCTCGACTATCAATTAAAAAAATAAAAAATTTAATTTTTTTTACTCAATACCTGATCAAAAGTGATTTTATCTACCAGGCTTAGTCAAAAATACATTTAACCAAGATTTTTCAGTCAAAATCTTTTTTGACGAATATTTTTTCAGTCATAACTAGTTATGTCCAAACTTCTGTAGTCAAAAATAATTATGACTACTCTTGTCGAAATTTGTTAAAATTAGTTTTTACCAAGAAATTATTATATTATTTTACCTCTAATTATTATATATTAGAGGTAGTGTTTTGTAAGAGTTAGAGTTAATTTTAATTGTATAGCAAAAAAATAACAATATTTAAATTTTATACAACCCCAACACAAATAGTAACTCCGCCATTGTCGGTCCCAAGCTCGGATGAGAAAGGAGGAGGGGTGGTTCCGCCGGAGAGAGTGGGTGTATCCGGTGAACTAACACACCCACCTGCGCTAGGACCTGCGCAGTCGACCGCCGTACGCGGGGATGAAGGAGTTCTGGAGGGTTGAGCCAATCGTCACTGGGGTATATAGAGGCGGGAGGCAACACGCCCACTTTGGTCCGGATTTCAAGCTAAACGGTGGCCCTATCTGCTAGCCACAGGTAAGGAAATGGCCGAGCGCCCTGTCTGAGGGTCGCAGGCGAGGGATGTGGCGGCTGCCTAGTTTCCTGAAAAGGGCTAGGTGGTAGTGAAGCTAACGGATAGCATGGCCTTCACCACCGCAAGTGACAGTCATTCAGGGAGCGGGGATGGGCCTTTTCAGCCCTGTGTGCAAACTGGATCGAGCTCTCGATGTCGCGCTGTGAGCTAGCTTCGCGTCCCTATATTCCCCCGGTAATCCTAACGCCTGAAATTCCTTTTGTTATAAAGTAGGGCGTTCCTAAAGGTGCGGGCTCCATGGAGGGTGGGAAGCCGGGGGGACGAATCTTCAAACTAAATTAATAATGGACGACTTAAGGCCCATAAGAAAAGAAGGAGAGGTGTCAGAGGTGACTATCAGAGGCACCAACACTCAAGGAGAAACTGCCAGTAAAATGGCGACTCCTCAGAGCACGTCATCCAGCGTAGGTGGCCCTCAAGGGAACTTCCGTGGTGGAGGCTCCTAAATCCAGTTCCTCGGAGCTGGAAAAGGATAGGGAACAAGGGACCGCGAGTAGAAATACTACTAAGGAACCCCTTAAAACGGAGGACCTCTTCTCAGCTGCCTGGCAATTGTTGAGCCGTAAAGGGAAAGGCAAGGCATCCAAAAAGGTGCTTAACCGACCCGACGGACCATCAAGTGGATCTATCCAGCCAGGGAGCGGAAGTAAGGTAAAGAAAAAGAACAGGAAGCAGAGAGAAAGTCCGTAAAGAAAGGGCAGAGCTGGCTGCTCCCAAAACCAGTACTAAGGAGGCTGGGCAAGCTGCTGCTCCTGGGGTGATTGGATCTGGACCTAGTAGTACTGAAACTGCAAAGGATAAAAATCCTGTCCAAGTGGAAATTGCAGCTGCTGGATCCGGTTCCAAGAAATCCGCCAGGAAGCGGAGAGCGGCCAAGCGTCCTGGTAAGAAAGAAAGAGCAGCCAAAAGAAGGCTGGACGAGATCACCTCGCCGAGAGGCGAGCATAAAAAGGTGAGACTCGAACAGCAATCCAAGGTTGCAAAAGCCAACTATGCTTCTGCAGTTAAAGTTGAATTGTGTGTGGCCCTACAGTGTGCGCGTACAGGACACACCACAAAAGAAATAACTGACGAAGACCCTGAGGCGTTGGGCCTAGTCTTTAGAGGCAAACCCGTTTACACGTAGGGTGTCCTAAAGCTGTGGTGCGACGACCAAAAGGCTTTAGACTGGTTGAAGGGGAACATTGCTACCCTCGACCTCAAGTCCAGCACCTCGCTCGTCATAAAGAAGCAGTCGGAGATACCACAAAGGGTCAAATGTGGTGTCCTCATCCCAGACACCCAGGTGGCCTGGAAAGACTCACGCGACATTTGTCGTGTGCTGGCATACCAGAACAGCTGGGGAAATATAAAAGATTGGCTGCTGCTCAAGGCCGACAAACAGACGGAAGGATGGTGTCTCGTTGTTTCGGTGCCGGAGGATCATATCCCGAACCTGTTGAAAGCCGGACGCCGCCTCGCATGTGTATGTGAGACGGTATACGTTACATTCCAGGGTTGTGGAGGAAAATTTTATGACACTCCATCGAGCAAAGAGGCGGTAAACCACCCAAAAGCCGTAGACAACGGTGCCATGGACACCGAGGCAGCAGGAACATCACTGGACCCCAAGACCAGTGACAAAACGGCCTGCACAACCGAGTCGAAGCCACCAGCGGAGATTGGGCTCAGCGGCGGTTCACTGAGTGACGAGGAGGGCTGCACTTTGCCGTCCAACTCTGACTCGGTGGTTGACGATGAGACAAGAGATCTGCTGACAGGCTTATTTTTGGGCGAAGACGGGGAGGACGCGGTAAATGATGGCGTACCTTTCGTCCAAAACTAGCTTTGTGCAGGCCAACCTCCACCACAGCGAAACTGCGTCGGCTCAATTACGCAAGTGGTTGGAGTCTCAACGGACGGCCATAGCCCTAATCCAAAAGCCAGGGGTTGGGGCCGGTAAAATCAAGGGCCTAAACAACATAAAAAGTAAGTTATTCTACAACTCTGAGCACGACAAGCCTAGAGCGTGTATTTATACTACTAAAGATATCTGTGCACAACCATTAACAGATTTCTGTTCCAGATACATGTATGTCATAGCATTACAAAACACACAGGGGGAAAGAATAGTCGTCACCTCGGTCTACATGCCGGAGGAAGACACTCCTCCCCCTCATGACCTCGTCAGGCTAGTGCACTTCTGAGCGAGGACCGGATTAGAGGTTTTTTTTATAGGAGATTGGGCAAACGAGCATGCGGCTCACCCGATGGTAAGTGACTACCGCCGCCCATGAACAACCGCAACACCAGGGGAATTGCAGATGCGTTGCCGGCCTTTTAAAAAGGAGTAAGCTCTTTTCTTGAAGGTCCCTAAATCGTATCGGTCCGGAAAAATCGCTGGTGGTAATCGATTCCACAAGGAAGTTGTGCGAGGAAGAAAACATCTTCTAAATCGCAAAGTGGTGGTGGACCGCCAATCATCCAGGTGGTATGGATGGTATCGCAAGATTTATCGCTATGTGCGATGGTGAAATTGAGCGGCTGGAATTAGTCCGAACAATTCCTCAGAGCGCTCCCCGTGGTAAATGCGATAAAATACGCAAAGAGATGCAATATTTCTACGCAGTGCCAGTGTATCGAGCCGATCAGAAAGAACTCGGTCGTCGACGATTCGAACCGCTCTGCGCTGGATGCGGTCAAGTGGAAGGAGCTGGCACTGGGGTGCCCCGCCCCAGAGATGAGAACAGTATTCCATGTGAGGCCGGATTTGCGCTTTGTAAAGTTGCAAGCGATGTGCCGGCGTGAAATACTGTCTCGGTCTGCTGAGCACGCCAAGCTTTTTAGAGGCCAGTTTGGCCTTCCCTTCCAAGTGACCACGAAACTGCACACTATTCGATATGTCGACACCGAGGATTCCGATGCTAGCTGAGGCAGCAAGGGGAGTGCCTTGAAACTGAGGAGATACGACAAAGCGATTCTTTTGCAGTAAACGCGTAAACTTGTGTCTCGGGACGGACTCCAACGCACATCGTCCCCTCTAGGGAATGGAAAAACCTAATGAATGAGGTAAGGTCTTTGTTGAATATCTATTTAGCACAAACCTAACCATTTTAAACTCAGGTTCTGAACCAACCTTCATAAACAAACGTTGTCGCACAATAATCGATCTCACACTTGCAACAGAAGGAGCAGCTAAACTAATTACGGGATGGCATGTGTCAAAAGAGGCCTAATGTTCAGACCATAGGTGGATCTGCTTCGTACTACAGGTCGATATCCGCGATACACCACCATGGAGAAACCTCCGCAAAGCGGATAAAACAAAATACCTTAATAGCCTGACGTCTTCCCTCGCGGGTATGGAGGGGACAATTACTATAGCAGATCTGTCGCTCCTAGAAGGACAGGTAGCAGCTGTTACTAAAGCCATGATAGATAGCTACCATGAATCATGTCCAGAAATCACTCCACCAAGACATGCTGAGGTAAAGCAACCGTAGTTTGGTAAAGAACTACATAGATAGAAAACATAAGGTACGAAAAGCCCTAAATAGGGCCATGAATACCTCCATAGATGAAGACTGGCTACTATACAAGAAAGCCAAGTCCGAATACAAAAAATGTGTTAGGTATCGATGCTCGACAGGGTGGCGTAAATTCTTTGGTAACATAGAACCTGTAAACAAAACACGCCGCGACCCATCTCTTTAAAGAAACCGGATGGTAGCTACTCAACATCGCCAGACGAAACCCAACGCATCCTAATTGAAACGGACTTCCCAGGGTGCTGCGTAACTCAGGGGGTAAACCGACATGAAGATGCACTGAACACACACACACACACACACCAACAGATGAAGACTGGAATTTAGCACAGAGAATGGTAACCATGGACAAAATCCATTGGCCCATTCACAGTTTCCTCTCCTACAAGGCGGCAGGACCTGACGGCGTTTTCCCGGCATTTATATAGTGGGGGGGGGGGGGGGGGTATTAAAGCCCTAATAGTCAGACTTGTTGCCATAATGAGATGAAAGAAATGATGATGAATGAAAGTCACATTCACACCCAAACCAGGTAAGAGTGACTATACAGCCCCTAAATCCTACAAGGTCGGCGCTAATGAACTTACCTGTACACGACAAACAACACACCTACAGCTTAGGTAAATCAACAGAATCGACACTTCACCAGGAAATAACAAAGATTGAAGAGTTCCTTCATACTTTTTTTTACAATTTCGTGCTTTTACAGAACAAACTTCTCCAGCATAAAAAGTGCACTCAGTAGACATAAAGTTGAACCGGCACTGTTCAACTGGATAGTAAACATGCTCAGTACACGAACAATAAAGATTGTTGGTGAATCTCAAACAATCCAGATTAAGAAAGGCTGCCCACAGGGTAGTATTCTTTCACCTTTCCTGTGGAATATGGTGATAAATGAATTCATCAGCAAATTAAATGCCAATCATTTCTACACTGTAGGTTATGTTGATGACCTGACAATACTGGTCTCTGGAAAGACAGCAAACATGGTGTGCGACCTGACCCAAGCGGCTCTCCATATAGTGGAGACTTGGTGCAGGGAATACGACTTAACCGTCACTCCAAATAAAACGGTTCTAGTAATGTTCACCACAAAACAAATGCTGAATGACTATCATCTCCCAAGTCTTTTTAGCACAAAACTCCAACTATCCTACGAGGTAAAATATTTAGGTTTCACCTTGGACAGTAAACTCAACTGGAATAAACACATAGAAAACAAAACCAACAAAGATAGTATAACTTCCTGGCAATGCAAAAACATGATTGGAAAAGATGGGGTCTGATGCAAAAAATCATACTGAGCTATACAAAACTGTAATTCGTCCCATGATCTCATATAGCGCTCTGGTATGGTGGACTAAAACAAATGAAGCCACCACCATAAAGAAGCTTTAGCGTTACCAGATGCCACAGGCTGCATAACCCTTTACAACCGAGTTGAAATGATCGTGAGACTTGTTTTTTAAAAATTCTGGCGCGTACGAAAATCGACTTTTCGAGACGCAACCAGCCTCAATCGATCGCGACACTTATCTTTTTCTTGGAAAAAAATGGTGCGGGCCTCTTGCGAACCAGTTTGAACCTGACAGTTGCCCCTAACCACAGTGAAGGATGGCTGCGTTTTCTGGCGCGCGAACTCGCCTGGGTAAGTAATTTGTTTTTCATTAAATTAATGCAATTTTCATTGTTTACTTTGTGTTATTTACATAAATTAGAGTTGTTTTATACCTATATGTATGTCATTTGAACCTAGCACGCTTAGTTAGGCGTATATTGTGACTCAAAATCAAGGACGCACGTTCATGTAGGTTAGGTGGAACGTTCTAAAAGGATTTTTATAGATTTTTTGTACCTAAACATTATTTTCCTGTATCTATGATTGTGTAACAAGGGTTTTTTCTCAATTTTTAGGACTACCCTTCAAGGATGCACACGTTGCACAAATATTGGCAGATGGAAATGACTTGGAAATCGAGGAATTTGCCGATGACAAGGATATTGTGGCGAAGGTCTTAGACCACCTAGAGCAGAGTGGATCTGGTGCTACCGACGAGTCCTCTGAAGTAGATGATGCACCATCCAGAAGCAGGGGATCTACTTGAGGAGGCACGATGACCGGCGGGTTGCGGGAAGAGAACAAGCTGGAGGAAGAGGACAGGCTAGAGGAAAAGGACAGACTAGTGGAAGAAGAGGGACAGCTGAGAGGATGTGGGTTAAAACTGTCTGTATAGATAAAGTTCATGATTACACTCCGGCTGGTAAATCAAGTTCTCTCTCCGATCGATTATTTCCGTGACTATTTTGATGATTCAATCTTGGAAGGTGCACGAATCTATATCACCTGCGCAAAACCGGCAATGAACTCAAGACTACTAGACTGGAAATAGCGAAACTCTGCTGTTCATTTAATCATGGGCTGTATTTCCTATCCAACACTACCTATGTACTGGAAAACTGGAATGAATCTGGCATTGGTCAGCGATCCATGACCAGAGATAGGTTTCTAACTCTACGCAATACTCTTCACGTCGACAACGACACGCCAGCAGAAGCTGAAAAAGACGATGCTCTGTGGAAGGTACAACCCATGATAAAAAAAAGTCAAAGAAATGTGTAACCGATTGGAGGGAGCCCCGGGATACTACTCGATAGATGAGCAAATGATACCCTTTACTGGTCGATGCCATCTTCGCCAAGTAGTCAAAAATAAACCAAGTATTTGTATGGCCTACAAATAATTGTTCCGTGTCTGGATGTTTGTCCTTGTGCAATTTATTTTTGTAAACTGCCTCCACGACACAGGAGGAAATCCTAGTGTGGGGGTGACGTTTTTTCAAAAAAGAAAAAAAAGCCCAGTAGGGTAGGCCAGAAGAATTTTGTTTTAACAACCAGTGAGGGCCTAATGCTGGATTTTGCCATTTATAAAGGGGCTAAAACAATGTTTTGCGATACAACTCTTGGGTTGGGTCCGTCTGTCATCCTCCACCTTTCTCAGAGTGTTGACACACCTGGCAGTTGTGTGTACCATGACAGATATTTCACGGCTGTTCCCCTTAGCTGAAGAAATGCTGAAGCGAAACCTCCACAGCACTGGCACAATAATGGTGAACCGGATTCCTGATCGTTCCACAATCGAATTCAAAAAGGATAGCCAGATGACTCGGGGTGAATCGCAATTCGTTTATACCAAAAATAGATTAATATTTTAAATATTTTAGTTTTTTAATAAGACTGTTAATAGTTTTGACAAAAAATATACAAAATGTTTAAATACTCTTTATTAATTACTCGTAAATAAATGTCCGATGATTATAGGTGAATAAAATACTGTTTAATTAACTAAATTTTCATTTAATATCAAAATATATTCTCCCTATCTACATAAAACCCAAATCTCGAGCTACCTCCTAACCCCCACAATCGTAAGGGTAAGTTTTCAGGAAACCAGATACTTCAGGATTTTTTTATTTGTTTTTTACATAATACTTAAGTACCCATGAAAAAGTCATGTGAGTTTCAAAAAAGTCTGAGCAAATTATTTACTTCGGTTGTAAAGGGATAAGTACTACGCCAACAGCAGCCTTAGAGGCGATGCTGGGGCTAAGCCCACTTCATCTATACATACAACAAGAAGCGACTTTAGCTGCCATTAGATTCAAGACCCTAAATCTTTGGAGTAAGAATAGAGTTCCCTCATGCAGGCATAATTGATAGAATTCACTAAAAAATTCCTATCTTACACGCCAAGTACGATAAGATCCATAAACAATTTGTATTCGATAAGAAGTATAAGATACAATTAAATGAAACCAGCCAGCCGGAGGGGTTAAGCCCAAAAGAGCTCAGAGTCTTCAATGATGGTTCTAAAACAAATGAAGGTGTAGGATATGGAACTTTTTTTGAAGACCTCAACATCCACATGCACACCGCTGGGTACCTACAACACAGTCTTTCAGGCGGAATGTATGGGTATCATTCAAGCGGCTATAGCAATAGATGCTAGAAAGGTTAATGACTTCTCCATCAGAATACTGACAGACAGTAGGGCGGTACTAAAAGCCCTGAGCTGCAATGTGGTAAGCTCAGGACTAATATATGAATGCCACCAACAATTAAATGAAGTATGTAAACACAACAATGTGACTCTGCAATGAATAAAGGGACACAGTGGATCCAGAGGCAACGATGCAGCAGATGAACTGGCCAGAAGAGGATCGGCTCTGCCCACTATAGGGCCGGAACCAATTATACCAATCTCCTTTGGTAATGTTCGTTCACTAGTATGTAGACACTACACTAATCAACACGCTCAACTTTGGAAAAATCTAGTAAACTGTAGACAAGCTAGGGAGATTTCATGGCTCGTATAAATACATTATTCCTGCCCACACGCAAAAAGTACTTAGACCTGGAGTTGCGGAAAACAGCCCGTTTATTCAATTCAATTTGTCGAAACTTCTGTAGTCGAAAATAATTATGACTGCTCTTGTCGAAAATTGTTAAAATTAGTTTTTACCAGGAAATTATTTTTTTAGGGTTAGAGGTAGTATTTTGTAAGAGTGAGAGTTAATTTTAATTGCATAGAAAAGAAATAAGTATACTTAAATTTTATACAACCTCAACACAAATAGTAACAAATTGCAACTTGTATGCTAAGGTCAAACAAGAAATAATACTGAAGAAATATGGTAATTTTGTTCTTAATTTTCTCAAATACTATGAGTTTCAGCACTGTTTTCTTTTATAAAATAAGGGTGACAAGTGAGCACAGTCCACCTGATGGTAAGTAGCACATAGACATCTATTTGGTTAAAAATCAAAATGCAGATTAATTCAAGATCAAAAAGAAATCACCCTTGATGACTAATATGGTATGCCTCTAAAAAGAATGCCAGTGAAAATGATCTTTTCTCTTCTCAATATACAAAACACAGAAGCATTAAACTGCTATTTTATGCTGGTATTCATTGAGAGTATGGTCCATCTCTGGCAGACAATCCATTCATGCTACAATGATAATATAGCTGCAGCTTGTTACAAAACTATATCTTTCAACCAGTAGTCATTTGAAAGTACCAACTTTGGGTAGTTAATGTAAGGAAGATCCAACATACATTATATTTTTTTTTAATTTAACAGCTTTTTCATATGGTCAAAGCATGGCAACAACGCTCATTACCATGGAAAGCTCCCAACTTGCCTATTACAATGAATGTAATGTAACGATTTGAGGGCTTGCAATAGCAACTATACTTTATTATCTCCTATGAAATTTTATCTGTAAAATTAATATTTCACAATTTTCAAATCATTAATTATTTGTTTACCTTTAGGTCGGTTATCATAACTTCGTTGTGTTTAAAATTAATCACACAGTGATTTCTAGATATGACTATACTAGAAAGGGTTACAGTATTATTTAAACCTCTGCCGATAGTCACTTCATCACCCTCCGAAAAGTTCAGTTCTTCACATCCAAAAGTTTGCCGGCTTAATTTCCATTTAGTCATATTTATTAGAAGTATTATTAACTAGTGTTAAATATATTTTTAATTTATCCTGTAGCTGATATACATTCCAGTTTCGATTCTATGAATTGGATCGTTACTTTTTAACGATTAACGACTTTAACACTACAAAAATTAGAAAAAACAAATGTTTTGATATCGGCAATTGACATTTTTTTATTACTGGCTTTACGGCTCTAGGTTCCAGCCCTTCTAAGCTTGAAGTTACAATGTACAATTATCTTTCATAGTACACTGGTATACAATATGTTGATGCGTCAGTTACTTGTTTCAACGTTTCCACTAATAGTTCACATGTGCAGACACTTAATACACAAAATCGCATCACTTTTACATATCAAAATCCACTTCAAACCATTATTTAAACAATAATACAGGAGGAGCAATCCGCCGCTGGTCAAGTTCCCGCCAAAACCCTTAGATAAATAGATATATAGCAAGCTACCAAAACCTCGCAATTGACATTATACGGTAGACAGTAGACACCAAAGAGAGCTCCGCGATCTTAGCACCTCATGTGCGGAATTTCGATTGACCAATTATACCATCTGAAAGGTCATAAAAGGTCAGTTGGTCTTATTAATTGGTCAGCGTTAGAATTTTTTTATTAAGGATTAAAGTTTTTCAAGGTCATTATTAAATAAATTTTAGCACCTCATACGCGAAAAAAATAAAAAATTCCACCTATGCGCGATCGAGAAGCATTCGTTGATAATTGGTCAGCTTACATAAATATTTGATCAGTTTAATTTAATGTTAAAAAAAATTAAATAAGTTGTCATTGTCGTAACGCGCATGCTTTGGGGCGGTTAATTGTATCAGGGCAGGGAGCACTTACGCATAGCGCAACTGAATTTTTATGACCAATTTCTGACCTTTCAGATGGTATAATTGGTCGATCGAAATTCCGTACATGAGGTGCTAAAATCGCGGAGCTACCAAAGAGCGTATTATAATCACTACGCTTAGTAGATACGTCAGAGCATAGACTTAAACGACTTATACACGCTCCATCTTGACGTACGTCCTGCCAGGGACATGCACGACGCACGATGTTAAACGACAATGAGTAGGCTACGTCATGTAACATACGTCAAGCCTATGCACTGTCGTTTTGCATCGTGCGTCGTGCATGACCTTGGCGGAACGTACGTCAAGATGAAACGTGTATAAGACGTTTTAGAATCTATAGATGGCCATAGTGTGTAAGGGAGAAGAAAATTCCTTATGGCAAAAATGCAAGATAGAAAAGGATAGCAAATGTCATCACTCTGTAAAGCGCCTTATTCACGGTTCATCTTGCTGTACGTCCCACCAAGGTCATGCACGACGCACGACGCAAAACGACAATGAGTGAGGCTTGACGTAAGTGATTATTGGTTATTTAACCTATTTGAATGACAGGTTGGTACAAGTGGGCACGCATGAAATAAGCTCCAAGATATTTTGTAATTTTTTAGGGTATAATAGTGGTTAATTTTTGTAATTAATTGTGTTCCAAAATCGTTACGTGTTCTGTGAGTGACTGCGGTGTCAATAATAGAAAAAAATCCGATAGATGCATATTTCACAGCTAAATTAGCAAGACATCGCGTCTTTAATATTTTCACACATCTATTTTCGGTTATTATTTATGTATTAAACTGTTTAAAATACCGTATATTTTAAATTAATTAATTAATTTTAATATTTTGCAAAGAAAAAAGTCACGTAGTTGATAATTTGTATGATGTGCGCACATCACGGAAAAACTACTGGATAGATTTCAATTAGGTTTTCTAAGTTTATTTCATAGACACTTGGCTCTTATCTAAAAAATATTGTGATGTCTTCATTTAATTTGGCTCCTCGGACCATTGTCTAGTCCCGTGTGGTGCCACTCACGCTGAAATCGCGGTTGCTTTCTGCAGGCTGCCGCCGTGTTTGGCACTATAGGTCGGCCAATTGGGATGGGATGCGTTCTTTCTTTGCATCCTACCCTTGGGGTGGGTTTGCTTCTCGCCGGACGATCCCAACATTGTTGCTAATTCTGTTGTTGATGTAGTACTTAAGGGTATGGAGCTTTTTATTCCTTCCTGTGTGGTGCCTATAGGAGGCAGATCTCAGCCATGGTTTAGTTGCTCCTGTAAAATAGCATCACGCTACAAGGAGGAGTGCAACCGGGTCTGGGCTAACACATCAACGTACCGGTATGTAAATACCAGCGCCCTCTAAAAGAAGTGTAATTTCACCTCCAGGTCCTTCAAAAGAGTCATTGCCAAGGCAAAGTCAGAGCACATAGGCAGAATTGGCGAGAAATTAGTTCGCCTTCCTTCGGGAACCCGTGCATTCTGGTCTCTCTCCAAGGCTGTCCAAGGGAACTTCTGTCAGCCATCTCTTCCATCTCTGCACAGGGAGGACGATTCACTGGCCCATGCCCCAAAGAAGTAAGCCGATCTGCTAGGCTCTGTCTTTGCGTCCAACTCGACTCTCGATGACGGGGGGAACATACCGACAACCAACCAGTGCTCCATGCTGGACGTGCGGTTCACACAGCGCTCGGTTCGCAAAGCACTCCTCTCCCTGGACACCACAAGTCCAGTGGGTCTGACGGAATCCCCCCAATTGTGCTGTGGACGTGTCCTCCGGAGTTGGCACCGGTTATAACGCGTCTTTTCCGGTACTCCTACTCCTTAGGCGTAGTCCCGAAAACATGGAAGACGGCTTTTGTCCAACCGATCCCTAAAAAGCGTGACCGCTCAGACCCGTCTATCGCCATCACCTCTTTGTTCTCCAAAATAATGGAATCCGTTATAAACTGCCAGCTCATGCGCTACCTTGAGGATCACCAGCTGATTAGTGACCGCCAATACGGTTTTCGTCGGATTCGATCAGCTGGTGATCTTCTGGTCTACCTGACAGACTGATGGGCGGAGGCAGTAGAGTCCAAGGGGGAGGCATTGGCCGTTAGTTTGGACATTGCGAAGGCCTTCGATCGGGTTTGGCACAAAGCGCTTCTTTCGAAGCTCCCTTCCTATGGGCTTCCCGAGAAATTGTGCAACTGGATCACCGGCTTTTTTGCAGATCGGATCATCAAGGTCGTTGTAGAATGAATGAATGCATGCTCCGACTACAAGCATATTAATGCCGGTGTTCCACAAGGCTGCGTACTATCACCAACGCTGTTTCTTCTGCATATCAATGGTATGTTGCGAAACGGTAACATTTATTGCTTTGCGGATGTCAGTACTGTTGATACTCTATACACCGGCCTCGCCAGTATTTCTCGGGAAAACGTCGCCGAGTGCCGCAACAAACTTGTATCTGAAGTAGAATCTTTGCTCAACAAAGTCTCAGATTGGGGGTGACTAAACCTAGTTCAGTTTAATCCTCAGAAGACACAAATTTGCACGTTACCGCGTAAAAGAACCCCTTCGTATCACCTCAGTTCGAAGACACTTCTCTTGTTGCCTCAGCAGTTTCGTGGTAACTTGGAAGAGAAGGCCAAATTGGTCTCTAAAAACCTTGGCGTGCTCAGCAGAGCGGGACTGTATTTCATGCCGGCACACCGCCTGCAACTTTACGAGGCGCAGGTTTGGCCTTATATGGAATACTGTTCACATCTCTGGACTGGGGCTCTCCAGTGGCAGCTCATTCCACTTGACCGCATTCCAGCGCAGAGCGGCTCGAATCGTCGCCGATCGAGTCCTTACCGATCGTCTCGATTCACTGGCGCTGCGAAGAGATGTTGCATCCCTTTGTATTTTCTTTCGCATTTCGCACGGGGAGTGCTTTGAAGAATTGTTCGGATTAATCCCAACCGCCTAATTTCACGAACGCACATCGCGGCATAACTCTCGATACCATCCACACCATCTGGATGCTTGGTAGTTCACCACTGTACGTTTTCACTAGGAGTTTTCTTCCGCGTACGACCTCTCTGATGAATAATTTACCACCGAATATTTTTCCGGACTGATACGACTTAGGGACCTTCAAGAAAAGAGCTTACTCCTTTTTAAAAGGCCGGCAACGTACCTGCAGTTCCCTTGGTGTGGCAGTTGTTCATTGGTGGCGGTAGTCATTTAGCATCAGGTGAGCCCTATGCTCCTTTGCCCCTTTTCCTATAAAAAAAATTACACTAAGAAAAAAGTGTATTATGTACTCCGTTTTTTATATCATCATCAAAACATTTCAAAATTATTACTTTAAACAAATTAATTACGGTTACTTATTGACCTTTAAACAGAAAAATCTTATTTAACTGTGACAAAATAATTAATTATTATTCGGCGAGAAGGCCCAGAAATGGTTATGATCCTGGCGAAGGGTCAAAAATAGCATGTTGGTTTAAATGACCAACTGCTGGTTTAAAGTTATTAAAAGGATGATAATACGTAAATTAAAGGACTGTTGGGTGCGGTGCTAATTTATTAGTTCGCGATACTGCTAATGCCTTTAATCTTCCTCGTGTCTCAAGAGCTGTGGCCAAGATGATTGGATGCCGGCTGTCTTCACACATACAAACTTCACAGATAATCGCGAAATTTAGCGTTATTGTAAATGTCTATACACTTTACTACATTTTTGTATATTTTAATATCTAAATTACACATATAAGCGATGTCGTTGGGTGCGTTCTGACCTTGTGAGAACCCCGTTAACATAAGAGTGCACATGCTAGGCATAAAAGGGAAACCTGGTAATGGGATTTGCAGTACTCTCCTCCATCAATATTAAATTTAGATCATTGTTTAAATCATATAGTCTTTTTAATTTATTTATAGAGCCAACGCGTATTTCTCAATCCAGTGCAATATGTATAGATAACATTTTTACAAATGTGAAGCCGTTGCATAAATGTATAATTCAAAAATTAAGTTCTAATGACTGTGGACAAGTAGTTTAGTAACCTTATGTTCACAAAAGGCAAGTAGATGAGAAAGTTGTGTCTGTTCCAGTAAATGCACGTCGCTTGGAGAAATTTAGAAGTAACATAGTGA